ATAATAATAATACTATAATAATAATAATGATAATAATAATAATAATAATAATAATAATAATCCTATAATAATAATGACGGCGATATTGATGATCTTATTCAATTATTAAAGTCTTAAAGTTGGTTCTAAATGAAGAAATTGTTTAGTTTAATTTCACGTACTTTTAGCGTACCGAAATTTGGCTATATTTTTGAGGGGTGACCTGCATAAGGAAAATGGCATAAATCGGTTTAGTTTAAGGAGCCAGCGAAGGAGTCATCTCTCACCACCATCACAATCAATTTGCGTAATAAACTTTAATTAGTAATAACAATCTGGTAATTATAAACAGTTACCTTCAATCGTTGATATTCTATTGTTAGCACAAGGCACACAGTCAAAACAACACGTCGGTTTGTCATTGTTGAGTCTTTTCCGAGTACCTGGTTGACATGGCTGGCTACAAAACGACTTTGGAACCTAGAAACATGAGCAGACAATAATAATCTTTCTTAATTTATAAAACAAGATAGAAATAAACCTATACAAAATACTGCGATGCATATATCCATTACTTATGTGATACTTTGAGCGCTTACCGACACGTTATTATTAGTGTTGTTGGTTGCGATATTTATTTCTGTTTGATTACAAATAAATGAATTCACTTATCATGGTCATGTTTATTGAATTAAACCTGTCTCTTATACTACCAATGTGTTTCTCTTGTTCATCTGTGGTGGAGCATATACGTTTGATCCTAAGTGCCTGACTGTAAGCTATAGAATTTTTTAGACTCTTAGGATGAGCGCTATTGTAGTTTAAATAGGTGTGATTTTCGGTGGGTTTAATGTATAGTGAGGTGGTTATTTGGCGGTCTTCGATGCCGAATCGAGGGCTTCGGCGCGAGTTTCTACTGCAGAATGGAGTCTCATTCGGAAGCAGGGAGAGATAAATAAAAGTTGAATAAAAGAATATGTAGCATAAAATAAATACTTGTAACCCAAGGCGGGCCCCTTGCAGATGCTAGATGTTGACGTTACATACACACTACTGAATGAAATTACTAATATTATTGCAGCTTCGTATAATATATAATAAACTATATACTTCTCATCAAAATATTCCTAACTACGGTATTTCATTATTTCCGAATCCAACAGCGAGTGATTCGCAACTTCTGTGGTAAGAAAAACTCTTATTTATAAAGTTAGTTTTAATATGAGGCTTAGCTAGTATATGGTGTTTCTAGGATTTGAACCAAAAACCCTGAGATTAAAAGTAGGCACTGCGCCTTAAGACCATGTTAAAACCACTTAATATTTGCTTAAGAAAAAGTATAATCCAAAAGTAAAGAAGTGCAAGAGTTCTGACTGCCTTAATTTTGTATGCACGCAATGAAACGTTAAGAAAGTGCTACCACTTTGAAGGACGCCATCTAGTTTGTGATAATAATTTTTTAGATAGGAATTGTGTTCCAAATCTAACGTTCGTTCGTTCCTAGACCCCATGATCTAGGAAATTTACTTGTATTTTAGGCATTTGGCCCATTTACATAACAAAATGACATTTAGAGAACGGAAGAAAGTAAATCATATCTTATATAAAAGCCAAATAAAGATATTTGATATTTTTGTCATTACAGTATATAAACTATTACAATCATTTGATAACATTAATCGATAGAATTAAACCATAATTTTTACATAAAAAAAGATGGAATTAAGTTTTTTTTAATGTCATTATAATGCAGTGGCGTATCTAGAAGGTGCGCAGGGGGCACACGCCTCTCAAAATATTACTCCCCCCCCCCAGTAGCCCCCAAAAATCACAGTCAAGTACGGTAGTTAAAAATCACCTACAATCACCTTATTTTGCGAATTACCGCCCAAGCTCAACTGGTCATCAAGCCACCCCTCCCCCTACTTTACCTTCGCGCCCCAATCAGCACCCCCACTTCAAGACTTCTAAATACGTCTCTGTTATAATGTAAACATACTAAAGTGAAATGAAATTCTTTTTTTATGCAATTTACATATTTCTATTGCAGTTTTTTGCTAACTTTATTCAATCTGCCTTTCTCTATTTCTAAGTTTAAAATACCAATTCGAATTTTTGATAAAATACTTCTATAAAATATGTCTATAAATAATAAATAATTTTATTATTAAACTTTAATCTCGAATACAGTATGTTTTGACATTTTCATTGTAATGTTGTCTTTCTATATCACTGTCTCGGTTTTAGTTCAGGACTAAAAGAAGCAAAATCAACACCTGCTGCGAAAACCAGACATAACCAAAATTAACCAACTGAACATAGAATTTGCTTAACATAAGCATAATTAATATATATAATCAACATAATTCATTTCGTCGGAACTTCTGCATTTCTATGCCCTTTGGTATAAGTTTGGTTTGGTAATATAATAATCTTCATTATGCGTAACGGAATGTATAAATACACAAAGTTAACATATTAAATTAAAGATTCGTGTTGAAATCGTGAGGTGAACAGTCTTGGATGCCAGATTCCCGTTTTGCACTAGAAAGCGTAGCACAGGAATCAGTGAAGCTTTTGCTTATTCTTTGTGATGTGTTGGTATGATCATTCTTCGAAGCTACGAACAAGAAATAACACTTAGGCAGAAAAAGCATGATGAGAATAAGTGTGTTTAGAATTAAGATGAACATTACTGTGATTATTGGCTCTAATTCACCAACAGTAAATAGATGAATTGGTATTGATACTAAGAATATAATAATCCAGAAGGTCATCACGACCGAAATGAACCGAGCCTCGTGATAATTGTGTGGCGTTTTTCGCGCACGAAATGCCAATACGAAGCAGACGATAATTAGGATCAAGTTGAACGATTCATTATATATGTATGTTCTGATGGTCGCCTTGCACTCTATTATTGTTTCGGTCATTGACGACACGTTGTCCAGGTGGATCTCGACAGGGAAAGTGATAAAAGCGGCAACCACTAACGATACCTGAAGGCCGGTTATCAAAGAAACAAGTAGGAAGCGAAATTTCTTTAATCTGATTTTTGAATTTGCCATGGATTTGGCCTTTTTACCTCGGTTGAATATTTTGATCACCATATATATCTTGATTAAAAACACAGCTAGAATAAAAGAAGCTAAAATGCTGGGAACAGCGATACGTAGTTGGCAAATTATATCTGTCGGGGGTGTTATGAACAAAATTGGAGAGATAAACCCAGTTAATATTCCCATTTGTAGCATCAGACTCAGGTCTCGCGACGACGATTTTACTATTTCACATTCTTTTTTGAAGTAAAAAATAAGGATAGTGGCAAACGTGAGAGCACAGCCAACACCGGACCAGGCTAAAAACGCAATCACAACAGTATCTGTCCATGCCAGTACGGCAGTTTCTTTCATCAAGCATTCGGTGTTGTTATCATTGGAGTAATGGTCTTCTGGACACTGAGTACATTCGTTTTGATCTAAGAAAGAAAAGAGAGATTGACCATTAAAAACGTTCCTTTGCAAGGCACCCCAATTTCCTTTATCATTAATAGTTTGTCCAAAAATGTGTGTTGCTCGACCGGCCAAAAAAAAATATATAGAACCTCCTTTTGTTTTCAGCAAAACTATATTTATTTGCAAAAGAATATACATAATTAATAATAATAATAATAATAATAATAATAATAATAATACTATAATAATAATAATGATAATAATAATAATAATAATAATAATAATAATACTATAATAATAATGACGGCGATATTGATGATCTTATTCAATTATTAAAGTCTTAAAGTTGGTTCTAAATGAAGAAATTGTTTAGTTTAATTTCACGCACTTTTAGCGTAACGAAATTTGGCTATACTATTATTTTTGAGGGGTGACCTGCAAAAGGAAAAATGTCATAAATCGGTTTAATTTAAGGAGCCAGCGAAGAAGTCATCTCTCACTACCATCACAATCAATTTGCGTAATAAACTTTAATTAATAACAACAATCTGGTAATTATAAACAATTACCTTCAATCGTTGATATTCTATTGTTAGCACAAGGCACACAGTCAAAACAACACGTCGGTTTGTCATTGTTGAGTCTTTTCCGAGTACCTGGTTGACATGGCTGACTACAAAACGACTTTGGAACCTAGAAACATGAGCAGACAATAATAATCTTTCTTAATTTATAAAACAAGATAGAAAATAGACCTATACAAAAAACTGCAATGCATATATCCATTACTTATGTGATACTTTGAGCGCTTACCGACACGTTATTATTAGTGTTGTTGGTTGCGATATTTATTTCTGTTTGATTAAAAATAAATGAATTAACTTATCATGGACATGTTTATTGAATTAAACAGGATACCTAAACAATTTTTCTCCAACACTAACCTTTTCTGATCTCCCACTATCCCATAAAATAGCAGATTCGTTAATTTGCAAGTAGTCTCCAGATGTTGCCGAGGAATCGTATTCACCGACAATCTGGATGTTAACGGTGTTCTTTGTAGTACGTTTCCACCAATAAACCGTGTAGCGAGCTGGTACCTCGTAGTTTTCGTCGAACATAAATTGACGATTTTTAATATGATCTTGAAATTCAACGTTCCTGAGATATTGCATAAGTTGCCACGGTTGAATATCGTTCACATCTGGACATAACCCATCCTTCAATAGGCCGTCAGTGCAGTTGATGATATTATAAATAGCATAGGCGATAGCATATACAGCGTTGTACGTGGTAAAATCGATGTAAGTCTTGAATTCATCTGCCTTTTCGTTTAGCGAATGTGACCAACATTCTTGATTAATGCTACTTTTGTTTTTGTCAGGTCCATTCTCAAAAAGATTGCATGAGAACGTTTTTTCCCAAAATTTGTTGAACCAAGAATCGAGGTTGGTATTATTTGGAGTACGTGACAAGAAATAGTTCCAAAAATCGTCATTTCTAACCTCTTCGATAGAAGTGCCGATCGCTGCATCGATAACTTTGTAATATTTGTTTGATGCAAATATCCTCGAAATAATCCATACATCGGTTCCAATCCAAACTCTCGCTAATGAAAAATAATAAAAATACAAATGATACGAATAAATCAAAAAGACCTATCAAACAATAACACATTCATTAATAATTTTAATAGTTGATCAATTGGATCCGTTGGTGGGCGGATTCAAGGGATGGGTGAGCCGCCCCCTTCCCCCAATTTTTCAAAATAAAAAAATGGAGATAAAAAGAAAACTATATTACAAATTTCCTGCCATCTAGATGTGCTATAATCATAATTTTTTTAAAACTCAACACCAACTATGGTGGGGAGAATGTGGTACAGACCTTCTACATTGGAAAGTCCCTCCCGTGCCCCATCTCAAGTTCTGAGGCGCGATAGATAGGCCAGTAATCGATACAGTGTTGTAGATTAAAATGTAATCCAATTCAGCAACTAGTCAAATTAAAAACGAACTGTGGCTCTATTTGATACCGTGATGGTGCCAATAAGAGCCTAAAGTAAACATTATAACAATTGATTCAGTGACAAATCACAAAGAAAAGGCAATTATGGCGAAATTGTATATATATGTTGTGAATTAAATTAGAACCATGCATATTATTATTTACTCGCCAAACAACAGACGATAAATTGTTGCATAAATAATAGGGTTATTCTTCTTTTTTTTCCCGATAGACACATAACTTATGGTAGTTAACACATTGAAGCATTTTTATTAGTATTATACTGAAAGTAAAATAGGCCTACATTAAAGCTAGATTATTTTAATCCGATTCATTAGAAGGTGACAACTTATTTGATCCTCTTAAATGAGAAATTTAATATTTTGAAATCAATGTTTGAGAGATATCCAGATAGTCACTCAGGCTGTGTGTCTTAGAGGTTTTATATACAGCATTGCATATTGAACATGAGCCATGACGTCAATAGATGTATTCAAGTTCTAAACATGGGATATGCAATCCTCTGGGGGAAATACAAAGACATTTCTTCTAATTGAAATGGATCAAAATATACCTACTATTGATTTTTCTTCTGTCACATTCTTCAAATATCTTTGCCACTTCATATCCACTATTTATAAAAGTAATTATAACTTTAACGTCAGAATGTGTCATCAGTAAATCAACCGTGTCATTTATGCCTTTTGAATCGATCACTGTTGGAAGGTACATTTCGAAAGATATGCATATACCATATAGCTTAGCCACTTCTTTGAAATGTTCAATTCCCAGGCGGCCATAGTTTTCGTCGGTTGCTAAGGCACCTACCCACGTCCAACCGAAGCTCTTAACGATGTGCACCAATGCTTCGGCTTGATTATCATCATTCGGCACAGTTCGGAAAAAAGTTGGGTAAAGATTCTTGTCAGTGAATTCAACACTCGTAGCCCAGACGGCAATAACTGGTGTGTTGGTAAGCTGAAAATAGTTAGCAACTGGGCCTATGGAAGCTGAAAACGTATCAGCTATGACGGCCACTGGTGCTTCCTCAATGCCACAGGCCCCAGACGATATGTCCGCTGCTCCTCGAAGAGCAACACTTCTTGAACGACAACCATCCGTCAACATGTAACCAAGAGTTACATTTGTCAGATCTAGAAATTTACCCGCGTTGATTTCTTCAATCGCGTATATTATTGAAAGGGAAGTAAACATGCCGTGATCGAATGGATTCGAACATTCTTCTTGGATTGGTCCCTCTGTCAGGCTATCGTCTGTTACCTTTGAAACGCGATGGATGTTAACAAGACCGCCAATATAAATGTCACCTGGTAGTATTGGACAGTTGTCAACCGATTTAGTTACGTTCTGGTACGAGCAATCAGCTTCAGACGATCGGAATAATGATATTTCCTTAAGCAGAAAGTACACATAAATGAAGCGCATCTTGAAAGTTATTGATGTCTCAGAGGCCTACATATCCTGTTGATAATGTACCTGGTTGTTTAAAATTAATAACAAAAGATAATAACGCTCTCATCCATCCTAAGTCTCGCATATTCAACGATAAACCATTACAATAAGTTAACACTATTATTCATAGCTTTTTGATAGGACGAATCACCAATCAGCCTTGTTAATTATATTGCTACGTCACGCGCCGATCTCATAATAATGCACAGTGTAAGGAAAGTACATTATATGAGCAATGTAACCAGTAACAATAGTGATTCTTTGAATTAGGTTTGAACTGTAGTATCTATATACAGACCTAGACAATGGCGGTTAAACGGTACCATAATACTAATAGACCTACATGATAATGTGCATATTGTTCACGCAATGTGACTATATCTATCTTAACGTATTGTAGGACTGTATCCCGATTGATGTAAGGCGTAACATAGCCATTAATAT